CCAACCTAAACGATTCTATGATTCTATGATTCTATAAGCCAAATATTTAAGTAAAATTCAGTTCTTAGAGAGTAAGGGTCTTGGAAGAAAGACAAGAAATTAATTTGCTGATTATGGTGGAAATGTGATGTCACTCTGTCAGGAGACCCAGTGGGAAATAAAAAAAAAAAAAACAAACTACAAAGGAACTGGCACTGAACTGGGGATTTCTTCTGCTGGCTCATTGATGTAATGGCTATCAAGAGTGAACAAGTCATCATTGTCTCAGTGTGCTGTCCATAGGGAGAACAGTGGTCTGAAGATGAGATACACCTTATATGTCTTTGAGGACCATAATGGTTAGGAATTTGACAGCTAGTGGAACACTTTTTCTTTATGGGAACTAATGTAATAAAAGTAGGATGCACACAGGGAACAAAGAAATGCACACGGTTTAGCTACATGGGACAGTATATTGCAACATGAGGTCTTTCCCATTCATATTGACCAGCCGGGTTAGCTCAGTTGGTTAGAACACAGTGCTAATAACGCCAAGTTCACAGGTTCAATCCCTGCTTACTGCAGGGGGGTTGGGCTCGATGATCTCTCAAGGTCCCTTCCAACCCAAAGCATTCTATGATTCTATGATTCTATATCCCAACAACATTGCTCAAAATGGAGAGATCTCAGTGATGTGAAGACAGAACAAAGACAAGAAAAATACTGCTGGTTAGCCACATGCTGCGTGATCTGCATGTTTCTATGAGCACGGGTGCATCTATAAATTCAAAAGACAGGCAACTAACGTTTGCTAATTTGATACATGAAACTGAAGAATAGCATGTAGATAGGATTTTCCCCAGCCTAATTGTTGTCCTTTGTGATATCTGCAGTATTTGATTTTCTTGGTGACAGTTAGAACAGCCACAAATGTACAAGGGGTGTATACCACACTGCCAGAAAAAGCCCTTTAGCAGGAACACTTCTCTGCCTTCTGAGACATAATGACTATAGTAGACAGTGTCTGCCAAGTGAACTTAATGAGGTGATTATAAATTCTATTACGGAGTAAGGTCACCTTGTTACATACAGACTGCCAAAAATGCCAATAGCATGTATATAACCTTAGTCTTCCTCTCCAAGGATAAGAAACTGAACCACCTTCCTCTTAAGTACTGGAAGCCCCTGATGTTTATTCCAAGGGACATGCAAACATCTTGGAGGATGAAGATGTCATCAGGTTTGGAACCACAAACACATCCTTCTTATTATGTGGGTCTGCAGATAAGAGACTCAAAGGATCTGAAGAAGCAACGTATGAAGCTGCGTAGTCCAATCTCAAGTGGAAAGATTTACTGGAAGTTTCCACTGCAGTAAGTCTACCTATATCTTTTTTCAGTACAATGAATCAAACTTGACAAACCATCTAGAATCACAAATGAAGAAATTATGTACTGCCTTGCTATTACTTAGCTCACTTTTTTTAAAAAAAAAATCAATATTCCAGTATGATTCTGCTCCAAATGTATACAGAAAAATATTGTAGATCTTAGACGGCATTTATAGTTTAAATAGCAAGTAGAATTTAATTTGCCATCATAGTCTGCATTTTAATCTATTTAAATGCTGCTGGAGTTCTTGACACAATCCTGTATCATTTGAATAACAGAAACAATTTCAGTTGAAAAGAAAAACTACACATTTTCAGATGTCAACAATTTTCTTTCTCTTGGAAATTCACTATCTCATGAAACAGTTTCCCAGCCCTCTCTAATCTTACAATACAGAGAAGCAGTTACAGCATTCAACTTCTCTGTATTAGTCTCTTTGTAATGGAGAAGGCCTTCACAGTAATGTTACATATTATCTGTTTATCAATTTTGATATTTGTAGTTTTGCACATTCTCTTCTTCCCTGTCATCTATTTGCTTGAATTAAGTCATTTGCATTTTCACATAGCTTTATCACAGCACTGTAAGGGTAAGCAAAAAACAATACATAACTTTCTAATGTACAACATATCATTGGACTGTACAGGGATGTGGAGAACACTCAGACACTCAGTGTAAGTTTAAATTACTTCAAATGCCTTAAAAAGCAAAGACTATTATTTAATTATTTTGAATAGAATAAAAGGAAATCTTAATAGCTGATTTCTTTCTTTTTCTTTCTATTACTATGAGAAATTTCAGACACTCATATTTATCCTTGCATACATGTGTTGAATGCTCAATAACAATGAAGTGTTGTGCAAATGAAACATGTGATACTTATCTTCTTCTTTTGTTGGTTGAAGTTATCTATGATGACACCAATGAATAAATTTAGGGTGAAAAACGATCCAAAGATGATAAAGGCAACAAAGTAAATATACATGTACAGGTTGTCCTCATACTTGGGCTGTTGCTCTACCTATGTAACACAGAAAAACAGCAATACGTCACAAATAACAGTTAAGACAAATTACAGAATAATACCAAGCAGAAACAGAGTTGCATCCAGCTGGAGAGCAACTCCTTAACAAGGGGGGAAAACCAACTGTTTTGGAGCATACCCTATACCGGCCTTATCTTTGAACTTGAAAATCTATTTAATACAGGTGTCTGTAATTGCACACACAGACCTGCCATTCCTCCCCTTTCTGTCTGCCAGTTCCTCTCTAATGACATTTGATGTTTCACGTAATTCCTACTAAATTTGGCAGAAGTGTGCAAATCTCAAAAGGAATTCAGTTCCTATGGTCTTCATGCAAATCAGGAGCTGGATCGAGGATAGATGCAAACAAATACCAGCATTAACAGAAAAACAGGCAAAATTCAGCCATTTTATTTTTTTGAGATCACCAGAGTCTGCAGCTCTGGATTAGATATTGCAGGTGATATCACTTGATTATTTTGGTTATTTTTGGGGACACATGAAAAGCTTGTTTCCTAATCTGTACAATTTCAATGACATAAATTAATTGAAAACCAGATTTCATTAGTTTTGTTCTTTACAGATGACTTATTAAATAAGTAATACTTTATGTAGATCTACTGTGATAATTTTTTACCTATTAAAAGTATATGCACTTAACTACTTTGTAGTGCACAGATTTATATAGAAAATTTATCAAGGTTTTTATATTTTTATTCTTTATATTTTACTTTATTTCAACTGCCATTCAAGAATCATTAAATCTGATATTTGTTTTCACTCAGTAAATTTTATATTGCACTCACTTGTGTAGAATCAACTGCAGCATACATGATGTCCATCCACCCTTTAAACGTTGCCTAAAAACAAAGTTTGTTAATATTTTCTGTCAAACCTCCAATTTTTAAACATTCTAAATAAGACACTGTCTTCAGCAATGTATTTGCACCCACAAAAATAAAGAGGAATATTAGAAGTCTGGTAAGACACGAGAGAAGTATTCACTGGAAGTAATTTACTGTGGAATACTTCTCCCTAATACTTAAACACTGAATAAATCCTAGTCTTCATGCAGATTCATATAAATTCTATGTGGGATGAGTTGCAATGAATATGTGAGCATAACAGAAAGACTGCAATTTATAACAAGGCTCTCAGTTATAACTTTCTGAGTACCAAAAAAACCCAGAGGAAGATTCCAAAAATCAGCCACAATGCGTTGGCATTTTTCAGACAGAATATACAAATTGTCCTACAAGAAACTCCAGAAGATAAGTAGTCCCAAGAAATCTTAAGAAAATAATAGAATCATAGAATGGTTTAGCTTGGAAGGGACCTTTAGAGATTATCTAGTCTAACCCCTCTGCCATGGACAGGGACATCTTTCATTACATCACACACTTCCAATGATGGGGCATCTACAACTTCTCTGGGCAACCTGTTCAGTGTCTTACCACCTTATTGTTAAAAAAAAAAAAAAAAATTCTACCTTATATCCAACCTAAATCTACCCTATTTCAGTTTAAAATTATTGCCCCTTGTCAGGCCTTGGGAAAAATTTTCTCTCTGTCTTTCTTAAAAGCCCCCGTTATATATTGAAAGGACACAGTAAGGTCCCCCTGGGGCCTTCTCTTTCTCCAGGCTGAAAAACCCCAACTCTCTCAGCCTTTCTTCATAGGAGAGGTGTTCCAGCCCTCTGATTTTTCTTGGCCCTCCTCTGGACCCACTCTAAGACATCCATGTCTTTCTTGTACTGGTGGGGTCTCACGAGAGTGGAGTGGATGGGGAGAGTTGCCTCCCTTGATCTGTTGGCCACACTTCTCGTTATGCAGCCCAGGATATGATTGGCTTTCTGGGCTGCAAGTGCACATTGATGGCTCATGTCCAATTTTTTGTCCACCAGCATCCCCAGGTCCTTCTCTGCAGGGCTGCCCTCAATCCATTCATCTTCCAGTCTGTACTGATACTGGGGATTGCCCTGACCCAGGTGCAGGACCTTGCACGTGGCCTTGTTGAACTTCATGAAGTTCACATGGGGCCACTCCTCAAGCCTACCAAGGTCCCTCAGGATGGCATCCCATCCCTCTAAGCATATCACCTGCACCACTCGGCTTGGTGTCATCCGCAAACTGCTGTGGGTGCACTCAATCCCACTATGTCATTGATGAAGCTATTAAATAGTATTGGTCCCAGTGCAGACCCTTGAGAGACACCATCTGTTACCGGTTTCCACTTGGACATTAAGCCACTGACTAAGGCTTTGGACACAGCCATCCAGCCAATTCCCTATCCACCTAGTGGGCCTTCCATCAAACATACTCCTGTGAGCTATGATATTAAGTAAAAACAAGGTATGAATGGTATTGTTTACTGGAAACATTACATAGCTGAACTATTCTATGCAAGACATGTTACAAAAGCTAAAAGCACTCCTGTCCTCTACACTGGTAATTTATGCAATTGCCTAGTGCTATTTAGCAATAGCTGCTGTTACTCCCTGCAGCAATCAGATGGTAGCTTGCTAGCACAATACGAATTGCTAAATACTACCACTTGGAGATTTTTAAAGACAGAATAATTACCAAGTGCTTATGAGCACAAATATTTTCCCAGAAGCAGTTTGTCAAGCAAACCTGATTAACAATATATGTTTCTGTCCTACTGGCTCCAATTTATAGATGCTGCCTCTAAAAAAGGCTTGTGCTTAGAAATCTAGCTCTTGTAAATTCTGCAACTGCTTATCTAGACTTTAAAAACAAGCTAAAAACTATCTCCAAAAAACCCACTTGACAATAATAGACAATGATTGGAGTGGGACTGGTAGGAATAATAAAAAGGAAGAGAAGAGAAAGGAAAAAGTGAATTTAAAAACTTTTTCTAAATCAATAGCTAGTTCTCTTCTTGTTTGAAGATCAGATAAGCCCTATAATGCATCTATTTGACTACCATGGTAAAAATCTAAGTTAACATGCTTTAACCGATCAAGTGAATAAAAGAAAATTTATCCTAGCTGCATTTTTTTTTTTTTACTAGATACTGTATTTCTGTAGAACTTGAAAAGATAGTAGCGGTTGGGTGCAAAGGCACTTCATATCCATCTGGTAGATATTAGATATTCCTCCTGTTCCAAAATGGCCATGGAATGTATCAGATTTTTATCATAAGCAATATTAATTAGCTTCACAGAACACAATTATAAAATCAAATCCCACATCCATTCATATATTGTAAAATAAAACTGAAAACTATGGAATTAAATGTTACTGCTAGAAAACTTAAAAGCTGGAAAATTAATTTATCAAAATTTATACACTTACTACTTGAAGCAGAGAAAGATAACCAGCTCCAACATTATCAAAGTTTACTTTCACATTTTTCCACCGAACACCCACATCAGTGTTTCTAAGTTCTTCACACGCAGTTAGGTTACTGACTTTCTCTGGTGGGAATGCCTCACCAGTTGTGGTGTTAACACAGCGATAGAACTTGCCAGCAAACAAATTTACTCCCATGATGCTGAAAATTAGCCAGAATGTAAGACAAACCAGAAGTACATTCATAATGGATGGGATTGCTCCAGTAAGAGCATTCACAACCACCTAGTAAATAAACACAGAAAAAAAAACTTTTTAAAAATAGTATGTAAAGCAGTAAAAAGATTACTTTTTTCCCCAAATATAGCAAAAGATTTAATGTAAAACATTAAAATACACTAAAGTAATGCCAACAGAAAAGGAATAACACATGTAATACAATCAAACATGCTACTGTTGGCCTTGAAAACAGACATGCAGTTCAGTGTTCCTCCATGATTTTATAATTAGGCATATTTTTATGGACTTGTTTGACAGACTATTTCTTTTTTTCTTACCCTCATGCCTTCAAAGCGTGACAAAGCTCTTAGAGGTCTCAAAGCTCTTAATGTTCGGAGGGATTTAATTGCACCAAGTTCTGAGAAACCAAGGGCATTAGCTACTAAGCTAACCAAGGAGACCTAGAGGAAACAAAACAAAACAAAATAACTTTTTTTTGTTTTTTAATAGCCTCACAATACGAATGTAATACCTAGAGGAAGAAAATTTTGATCTGAATATCATAACAAAGTTCATAAGGACCCTAAGCTTCTAGCAAGAACAAATAAAAAAGAACAAAAAAAATTAAAAATTAATAGAGCATTGCGTATAAATTTCAGAACAGTTTTTTTTTAAAAAGAGATCTTAATCTCTGGAACTTTCATCACAGACAGAGTGCTAGTTAGAAGAATGTACATCTCACCTGTGCAAAATGATGGGCAATCTGGATAAAAAGAATTTGAATAAAAGCTCATCTTCCTAATAAACTCAGTCAAAGCCTAAAATGTACTGAAAACCTAATCCTATTCTACACGACATGTTACAATACTGAACTGTGCTCTACTACAGATGCATTATTATAGTCATGATAAAATGTGAGCCAGCAGCATTTGCTTCTGCTAATTTGCACTTAAAATAATTCACGTAACAGCAGATACCTGAATAACTAGTAACTCATATTGCCTGCAGATGATGACAGACTATTGGTAGGGAACAAAATTTCTGTCCTAGATTCCAGATTCCATCTGATTAATAGACCCTTGTCCATTTGCTGAATTTCCACTCAAATGTCTATGCAAAGAGAAAGAACTCCTTTATTAGAACACATCATGCAACACCTCTAATTTTATTAATTTCTGTGGAGTGCAATTTCAACACTACTTTTTATTGTAATTGTTGAAAAACATGAATTCTGTTACCTAAAACCTGGCTTTTTTTCCTGTTACAAGAATTCAGAGAGGCAACAAAAGGCATTCTCTATGATCAGAAACAGAGCCAAACAAAACCAAAATAATTTCAGCTTCCAAAAAAGAATCCTTAGAAAGTCATGTGTCAGTGAAAAGTGGAAGAGTTGCACTGAAATTAGCCTTGCAGCCTAGTACACAGTGAGCGCCATAACAATCAAAATTAACATTGTCAATGAATGATTCCTACCTTTTAATATTGATCCATAGGCCATCACTTTTCATTTCCCTCAATCCTTCTCTTTACTCCAGTTGCTGTCTTCTTGCCCCCACCCCTCCTCTTTTGCTGTCTTCTTGATTTCCTGCTATCATTCTCCCCTGCAGTTCTTTGCCAGTGACTCATTAAGCCCAGGATCAACTGTCCTACCCCAACCCCATATGTGCTCACTTAAATTTCCCTTTTCTTTCTGTGTTTGCTTCCTCCTTGTTCTCTGTCACCAAATCCAGAAGACTGAAGTCCGATCAGCCGATAGTCCTGACTCACTGGTTGGGACCCAGTGCAGTAAAACACACAGAGAACACATGGAGTCAATGATTGCATAAATATAAAGTCAGATTTAGTTACTCACCGAATAATTACAACGGAATCTTATTCACCGGTATGTCATTTTCTGGTGTTTTAAACCCAATTTACATTCTTCACTGTATATATACGTATCAGATTGGAGTTACATAAAAGGACCTGCCTAAACAACAGAAATAGGCTACTTAGAAAGTATAGTACCTACATCAACAATCAGGAAGTCCAGCCAGCACCAAGCATTAGTGAAGTAAGTTTGAAAACCATAGGCCACCCATTTTAGCACCATTTCCAGAATAAAGATGTAAGTGAAGATTTTGTCAGCATAGTCCAGTATGATTTTTATAGTCTTGCGCTGCTCAATATATATATCTTCAAAAGCCTGTGAAGAATGGGTTCGTGTAAGTCAGATATTCATAGGTCTTTGCAAGCTACACATTAAGCCAAAAGGACTGCATTAAAAATGGTAAAGTAAAATAACTTTCAACTTTAGATGTTTTACCATGAAAAGCCAGCATGAGTAGAGATTCTAATTGCATTCTTTCTGAGTTTTAGATTTTATCATTGCCTGATAATGTAATTATAATATAATGACTGAAATTGCCAAAAAGGTTTTTAGAAATTTCAATAATAGTCAACACAGAATTACCACTTGTCACCCTGAAAAGCCCAGTCAGGCTCAGTCAGAAGGCAGTCTCACAATTATAATAAATTCATCTAACAAAAGAGAATAATGAGCTACAGTGACCATATATTATGTTGCTGCTAACCTTTGCTGAATTCCAGTATTGGGTGTTGGTGGCAAGGTTTTGGTAGCAGGAGGCTGCAGGGATGGCCACCGTGAGAAAAGGCCAGGGGCTTCCCTGTGCCAGCTCCACAACGGACCCACCACAGGAAGCAGCTGAGCCCATCAGTGAAGCTGGTGGTGCCTCCAGGAAAACATATTTAAGAAAGTGCAAAATACCGCATGGCAGTATGAGGACTGAAGAAAAGAGAGAAACTACCCCTGCAAACACCAAGGTCAGAGAAGAAGAACAGGACATGGTGCTTCTGGTGCCAGAGCTGCCAGAGCACAGATAATGACAGTATATATAAAATCCTACGTCAAGCAACAACCAAGAAGAACCCAATACTTAGTAGCCGAGTGAAGGACTAAACGTCACTAAGATAGTATAAATGAATTCAAGGATTCCTGTGTAACAGTTTAGAAATACTGAAACTAAAACTAAAGCAAAAAATTAGTTGAGAACATGATGAATTCAGTATCTGTACTGCTTTCGGGGACAGCTTTAATTTAAAGTAGAATAATTGTTCCAGTTATTGCATAAAATTCATTTTGTATCATTCTTGTAATTTCTTTATAATTTCTTAAACAAGATTTTTAGCGTAGTCCTTTTTGTAAGCAACCTCACACACACACATCACCTTGTATCCATCAAAAATTCATGTGCAGAACGTTATTTGACAACAGAATTTCAATGACTTATTTTATATGCACTACCCAAAATATTCTGGGAATTTAGTTCCAAGCTCTCTTTCAAGCCAACTTTGTATTTTTTTCTTAGTGAACACAGATGTGTTATAATACTATCTTGGATAAAACATTTTTTATAGGTACTGTTTCTATGGGTGCAAACTCTACGTACCAGAGCACCACTGCTGAGAAGAATCATGAAGACAATGAATGTTTCAAACCAGTTGTGCTCTACTATCTTGTAGCAGGTTTTTCGAAGGTTCCACCAGATCCTTCCTTTTGTACTTTCCATACTGCCTTTACAGCATTTAAACTTCCGTATACAGCCTAATAATACAAACAATGACAAACTGTTATACAGTAGAATTTTCATTATCCTGAAAAAGCAAAATCACTTTTAACTAGCTCCTGTTTCATGAGGTAGTCAGCACTTCAAATTACTGCATGCTACTTAACGCAGCCTTACCTTCCCGATTTGACACTTTGGATGAAGGAAAACTTGCAGGTACACAATTTTTCTACTAACCTGATGCTACATCAAACTTAGAATCAAAGAGAGTCATCTAATTGAGCTAATTGTCATTTGTAAACACATTTTTGAAAATTATTTTTCATTTATATACAGATAATCAAAGAACATATGAGAATTGTCAGGGAGTAGAAACAAAGAGCATAAACACATAGCAACTTTCACATGAACTAGTTCAAGAGTACAGCAGCTTCTTTTAAAAGTACTTTTGTCTCTCAACTAAGGTTCAAATAAATGACACGATGCAAACTCCCTATATTTTATTATACTGAGGAATGACCCCTGCTTCAAGTGTTGACTAAGTATACCTCTTTCATGACATAAACAACTGATTTAACTGGAGATTGTGAGAGTTTTTCCATGTGGTACAGATTAGTGGCAACCATCCACAGAATTCTGCCTCACCTTGGAGAGCTCCCTACCTTATGGGGCCTCAACACACAGTTTTCAATGAACCTCAGTATCTGCCTGGCTAACAGTAATCTCCTTATTTCATGAAAAATGATTAATCCCATAGAAGCATAAACACGTTTAAACGATTTTAATGGGTCCCAAAGGCAGTACTCTAGTTTTCCTGTGGGTGTCATTAAGTTCACGTTACACCTAAGTTACGCTGTATTTCATCAGCTCAGATAAAACAGCTACCCCTATGAAGAGCATGATTTACCTTACCTTCAACTATTCAAAATGCCTACATTATGGAAGAATTAATCTTATGCCCAAAGGTAGACAGACATCATGTAATATAAGGATAAGGAAGAGTTGTAATATAATGTGAAATTATTTGAGAAGTATACTTTTTCTTTTTTAATCAAGAGCTTGATATACTCCAGAACAATTTTGTTTTTTTAAAGATGAATGAAATAATATTTCAAAGGACAAGAGGCCTAGCCTAAGTCAAAGGTGTCTTCTTAACAGTAAATAAAAAAACATGGACAAGATAGGAGAGTTAATCCAGGAACATATTTTGTTTTGAATTATTTTAATCATGACTTAAAAGGAAAGTAAAATCCGTAATATCACAAAAATGGGAAATACATTCCTATACAGTAAATTTCAGTAGTCCCCTAAAGGACATAGCTATACAGAACTAAAATAAATGGAAACTTCTAAGGGCATGCAAGTATGCTGTTAAAACTTCTTTACTTGAATAAAAAAATAGGATCTCATTCACTTGTTGCATCCCACATTATACTTATGCATCCCCTCACCCATTAATGGTGTAATGTCAAGATAACAACTCTATTGTTAGAGTCAAACTTTCCAATATCTGAATCATCCACTGGATTGCCTTCTAGTGCTATGAAGGGACCACATGATTCTGGTTTAAATTTCTTAGTGGAGTGAACCCGGTATGGGGTTTGGTCTTGCAGATTTCACTACTGAGAATGTCATTTAAATCAACAGGATTACTGATTGCTGAGAATCAGTTTATAGCATTGTGCCTAGTGTTTATTTTAAAATATTATACATGATTACATACACACATATTTAAATTTGCATCACTCAAATGGCTCCACAGACTTCAGTACAACTATCTACAACAAGCAAAACTAATCATATCGTTAAGACTTGACGAACCAGGATCCGGGCCTGCTGTTGCAAATAGCTTCCTTGGACTGCCAATGCTTGCTGCAAACAACCAAAATGTAATTGCTAACCCCAAATTTTATTTCTATACCTTCTGTAAAACATACCTTCTGTAAAGCATGCCTGAAGCTCTGATGCTTTTTCTGGTTCAGTTTCAGCTTTTTCTTCTCCAAAGAGAGCTAAATTAACTGTACTTCCTTCAGATGAGCTGGAAAAATTTAGCTTCTGAAAATAAAATTTGGTAACAGTTATACTTTACTAATATTTACAGTTTTAGAATGGTATTAACTTTAAGCATGCAACACTGTGTGCAAGTAATAAGAACAAAATTTGTCACCAGAAATACACACAAACATCCACATATAGCAGCCAATGCTGTTGAAATGTGCATAAATCATCCACTTTCTACCTAGAGATTGCAAGGCGTACCATGTAATCTTTCACAGAATTTCAGAATTTCTGGTCTAAAAATAGTACAGTGTTATCATTCAAAGTTAACGACTACCAAGTAGATTTTCTGATACATATTCTTTTTATTTTGTTTTCTACTATTATTTTCTTACTATAATTTCTCTTGCTACATTTTAAACCAGTACCAGTTATACTGTGTACTTTAAGATTATGTATGTTGGTAGCTACTTTCATTAGAGCAGTCTCCTCAACCTGAAAACAGTAATCCTGACAGCAAAAACTTTAAATTGTGAACTGTCAGGGTGAACTGTCCAAGGGAGAAAATGTAGCAGATTTTTAAGGACTGACTTGAATTCAGTGCCCATTATTCATAATACAAAAATAAATGAATTATCAGTTATTTTTCACTGGCATCTTAAACATCAGTATGATGCAAGCTAACCACTTCTGACATACATGACAATTTATAATAAAATTTGGTTACCTTTGACCACAGATAATTTAGTTATTTTTCATTTTAAGATCATTCTTATGATCTAGATTGGAAAATGCTAGAGCAGAATCAGGATTAATGTGAAACCTTGCTTCAGATGTGAATTTGAACACTACCTTCAACACATTCATAAAACAACTTAAGCCTGCCTTATCTTAACCCATAATTATCACTACCATATGAACACCTTTTGTTTTTTCATATATACTGATAAGTTTCAAAAAGGAAAAAAGTATGATAAATACATTTCAACTGGCATTAATTTGCATTCTTTTTTGCCAATGCACATATGTATTACATTGTGCATTCTGAAACTACCCATTACTCTGGTACACATACCTGTACAGTTAACACCCAAAAAGAAAGGAATTTTTTTGTTTTAATAATTAAAATTACCTAAGTCATATTAGTATGAAAAAAACGACTAATTAATTTATATTTTTATTTTGTAATCTGCATATGTATTGCAAAAATCCATAGTCTGGAGATTTCAAAGGAAGATGCGGTGTTCTGTACATTTAATCCGAGTATGAGTACCAAACTAAGTCAAAGTAGTTTTGGTCACAGCATTCTCTGACATTTTACAATGTTATTATCAAGAAGTATATAACATCAGTAATGAATTCACACAACTAGATGTCTGTAGGGAATGATGTAAGCACACTTTGTAAAACAGCGTTGGTTTTGTAGAATTAACACAATTTTCATTAATTTAGCTAGACTTGCATGATTAAGAAACATTTAAGATATAAAAGCAGACAACATACAGGCACTATCCAATCAAGCCATATTTACACCTCAGCTATGAAATGTGAAAGGACAAAATTATTTTAGGTATTAAACAAAAATTTTTTTTGCTGTTTGTGAAAGAAGACAGAGACAATCTAATAAGAAAAAGTAACCCAGTGTTCTGCATTAACTTTTATTAAAAATTATTCAGTAATATTGTCTACTTTGCTGCTACTTTAGAAACTGACTATCTGGAATAGAACCCCCAAATTACTCATATTTAATGTAAAAACCTCTTTTCATTTTTAGTAGCATTAATTTTAAAATACCAGTATTCACAGCAAACATTTTTTCCTCTCACAAATTCTACTGAACACGAGAATAGCACTGTATACCTCCATTTTATCAATATGCTGCTTTCATCATTCCATGACATAGCATATATATTGTAAAATGTTGCAGCAGTGGTGGGTAAACTGAAATAATGAACTGAATTATAAATCAAATTACTAATTTTAAAAACATTTTTTTTTAAAGTAAGGAAGTTTTGTGTCATATTGCTAATATAAACAACATGTACTCTGGGTTATTTGAACTGTAAGCTACTTAGTACACCGTTTGAGCAGATGACATGAATTCAACTGAAAGAATACAGATTTTTGACTTACAACATTAAAAGATGAACAACCGTAAACAGAAAAGAAACTGAAAAGAATCAATGTGTTTAGCACATGAAGTTATATAACTCATTTAATATATAGTAGAAGAATCAGAGATTAGAGATTTTTTTTTAATTTTTAGTTAAGAAAGGCAATTTTCTTGACTCTAGAAATCAAATTAGAGGCTCAATGAACTATTTTGATATAAAGGACAGGCAGCCTGGTTCCCTCGTTCTTCTAAGGACAGTGTAGGATACAATCCTGTGCCTGAAGAGTTACAGATTTAATTAAACATTGGTTCTCTTTTTCATGTGGGGTGCTCATATTTTTCACTAAGATGAAGGTATCAAACAACAAAAAAAAGACAGTAAAAAGCAATATGCATAGAAGAGTTTCCTGTCTTAATTAAAAATTCAGCTAGTTTCTTTGCTATGTACAAAGTTCACAGAGATCTAACTAATTTTGTGAATCACTCCAGAAACAGGACTTTTAGGAAAGACAGAAATGTTCATCCTTCACCTTCCAGGGCACTTAGCTGCTGTTCAAAGTTTACCAAACTAAGATCAGGAGGCCTCATTGTATATACACTAAGCACTGGATGGAACGGGTCAACTCACATACTCAAAAGTGGATTAGTTGCCTTGACGTTTGCAAGTCAGCAGCTAAAACATTTTTGTTAAAGAAAATTCCCTTAACATAATACCTTTTTTCTTTTTCACTGTTGGCAGTGAAAAGCTATTCGGATTTTGAATACATTAATTTTTTTCAATACAAATATCTACTTTACTGTTGTAAGGTCAAAATTTGGAGCTCATGATCTTCTTTTTTTTCCTGAAGGAATCAAGGTACGATGGCACAAATACTTGCAAGAATAATGTTACTACTACAAAGTCTCCAAATTGTAATTAGTAAAGAGTCAATCTTCCAGTGAGCATCATCTTAAAAATAATAAATGAAAGTGTACACAAAATGGCAGATAATGACTAAAGAAAACTCCGTAATATGAGCTAATAGTAAGTAGGCAACTGACTATTCACATGGTGCAATGTACTGTGCATTCAACTTCCAAGTCATTTACATTTTGATATTCAAATAGTAAAGGAAAATCTGATATGTTTCCCAACCTCCAAAGCAAAGAACAAACATACCAGCGGTTAATACGAGGAATAAAATGTCTTGTGTAATTTAAAAAAACCAAAACAAACCCACAGGAAGACTGTGCTGCATATTCTCACCTTCTCATTCACAAAGGATCTCCCTCTCTCTCTTTTTCTTTTTAATTTAAGTAGACCGAGTCTCTTTTTGCTGGAGAAGGAGGTAAAGAACTGCAGTAAAATGTGAAAGATGATTGCTGATAACAGCGCTTTGGAGACCATGTTCAGGAACCTCTTAGAAAAGAGGATCCAAAAATATTGCTATGTAGAAATGCAACAGAAAACCTTAGCACGCCTGCATTATGCTGCTTATATTCCATCAATGGAATATTCTCCTGCTTAATCAGATCTATTTTCAG